TTATTATTATTATTATTATTATGTTTATTATGTTTAAAAGTTAAAATAATTTAATTTTTTTACGTTATTTTGTAAAATTTATTGATTTTTTTTTATATATAAATTATTAATCAAATAATTATGTTTGATTAATCGGGCTATAACTTGGCTAATTAAAATATATAGATATAAAGAAATTTGTTCTAAATGTAAACGATTGAGTCGCCATCTCGTATTGAATTTAATAATTAGAATTAATTAATTGTGAATACTATGGAATAAAATTTGTGAAAATTTTGAATTCTTGCAAATTAAATTAATATAAACTGAATTATGAATATTTAAGAAGTGGTAAATAATAATAAATATTTAAAAAGCCTCTTACCTTAGATTTAACTTATATTTATTTAAGCTCCTCCAAACTCTAAATAAAACACAAAATTATAAATTTAAAAAATATAATAAAAAAATTACTTTTTCTTGAAGTAAACATCTTCAAATCTTAAAAACTCCAAGCGTTTTGATACTTTGCTGGATATAAAATGGAGGATCTTCTTCTTGCCACAATTTATACCACGAAGAAGAGGAAACAAGGCTGAAAAACTTTCGGATTTTTAAGGAATTTCACTCTAAAGAGTGAAAACCTTCAAATTCCTTAAAAATCCGAGAGTTTTTCAACCTTGTTTCCTCTTTTTCATGGTATACGAGCCTTGATTTACAGCCTTCTGGTTAGTTTTGAATACAGATGTGTGTATATATATATATGCTATTGCATTCTATAATTTAAATAAAAGTGATAAATTCTAAGAGGAAGTAAACTAAAAGAAAAGAAAATCAAGATCATAAGAAAAAGTAAATTTTTAATATAATTCTTAATCCGTGAAGCAAGAGAAGCGACGAACCGTGTTTTTTCTTTCTTTTTTTTTTCTTAAAAAGACTACAAATTTCTTTTCATTTCTTTGACGAAAACTTACGATTTTCTTGTCGATTCGAAGGTGCCCAGTGGACCAAACTATATTTCCTAGTTTCATGGAAGTAGGAAATGCATTAGAAAGTACGTACGAAGCCTTCCGTTTCACCGAATCTTACGGTGTCATCTTTCAATGCAACGTTAAGTACTGCATCGGAAAGTGCGAACCGGTAAGTGACTTTTTTTTTTCTGGTTACGCGTCACACTTCCGTTCGAAGCTTTAAATTTAATTCTTTTTTTTTTACACGTTTTAGGCGGTTTGCACTACAAATTTAGGAAGAGAAGAATCGTGGGGACGTAAGAAGAGATCGCCCGAAAAATCCAATGACGAAATGACTTTGAGTCACGAAATATTGGTCCTCGATTTCGGTGACGAAATCTCTAGATCCATGACCGAAAGATCGCATTCGGCTAATGGTAAAGATTTTCTTCGTCGCTATAAAATTCTTCCTCCTATTATTTCGTTCGTTAAAGGGGATGGCCTAAAAGTCAGTTAATCGTTGTCTTATTTTGTAAATGATTATACCAGAATTGGTACAAAGAAAACTTTTTCGAACTCGGTTTGCAAGATTATTCGGTACGCACGGTTATCTGACTTTTGGACTACTTTAAACGTCTGTGAATATACAAAGTAGCCAAAAAAAAAGTCATTTATTGATAATTAATCGTGTTTTGTTTTTATATATCAAATTTCAGATATTAAGTATTTTTGTACCGTTGTTTTATTTTCTACGCTTTTTCCAACCTCCTCACCTCCAAAATTTTCAAAGATTCTGCTCGACATTTAAACTTTCCCTTCCTATACGACTATAAAATTTGTGTATACAGTAGTGCGTCGTTTATCCGAAACGTCGGTTATCCGAAAGAATTTCAGTCGGCAAATTTAAATTCTCGCTAGTGCTGTGGCGCTGCAATCTTTGGCTATTTCTTCGACTACTCAAATATTTTACGTTTTTGATACTAAATTAACTTCTGAAGTATAATTTTTTATTGTTTTTATATTTTTAAATATATTTATTTTGTTCGTACAAAATAAAAAGAATAATTTTTAACGATACAATAGTCTTTGTTAGGTTTAACATCGACGAAAATTCAACGCGAAGCGACACGCAACGGAGAAAAATATCAAGATGGGATAAATTAATATATTTTTTCATACATAATCGGTTATCCGAAACATCGATCTTCCGAACAACCCGTCCCCAATTGATTCGGATAATCGACGCTCTACTGTACTTCGGCAGCCGCTTTAAAGAACATCTTAAAATTATGCACACTACCTAAGAAAACAATTTTCTTTCGAACGAAATATTTGGAATTACTTTCGGTGTTTGGAGGCGGAGACATCGATTCTGAAATATAGGAAACTCTGATTCTTGTATAGTCTATACAGTTACTGAGTGACTTTTTTACTTGCCGGGAGTCACTCCTGATATGGAGTTGAAACATTGTGTTATGTTAATATTGACAATAGTTTGGGATATAGAATACGAACATCTTATTGTAATGAAAGATCTAATAATTAATTAATCAATGTTTTTCATACTTACATTGATTCCAAAAGCTGTAATTCCTGTAAAAAAATAATTCATAAT